AACGCAATTGCTCTTAATATGATCACAGAGGTCATTTATGTAGAGTATGAAGAGAGTTGGTCCTAGAACACTGCCTTGGGGGACACTATTGACAGGTACAGAATTTGATAGGACGCTCCCAATTTTGACCATTTGTTGTCTGTTTGCCAGGAATGCTTCTATCCAGTTATGCAGTTGTCCAGAGATACCATAGGATTTTATTTTTAGGAGTAGTTTGTCGTGTACCACTGAATCAAAGGCTTTACAGAAGTCTATGTAGATTGCGTCTATTGCTTTGCCCTGGTCGAGTTGTGTCATCCATATGTTTTTGCAGTGTAAGAGTTGCAGATTACAGGATAGTTTTTTTTTAAAACCAAATTGTTTATTGGAGAGTAGGTTGTTTGTCTCTAAGTGGAGGATGATGGATTGGTTAATAATTGATTCCATGACTTTACAGGTGACGCAGCATAAGGAGATTGGTCTGTAATTTTCAATTAGGCTTGGGTCTCCCTTTTTGAAGATGGGGATGACTGTGGCTTGTGACCATAGGTTAGGCAAGGAGCTGGTCCTGAAAGATTTTTCAAAAATTATGCTTAGAGGTTTGGCTATGGCAGTGGATAGCTTTTTTAAGAAGTAGGCACATATTCCATCCGGTCCAATAGATAGAGATGGTTTTAGATTGCGTAGTGCTTTTTCAACATTGTCTTCTGTAAAATCGATATGTATTAGATCATTGTTGTTATCTGTGGTACGGCTAGGAAATACTGGGCATGATCCATTGCTGTTTACAAATACTGAGCCGAAGAATGTGTTAAAGATGTTGGCTTTAATGGTGTCATCGTTGCAGTCTTTACCATCAGGTCCTATCAAGGGTGGGATAGACCTTGAGTCTTTTAGTATGTTGTTTACAAAATTGTAAAAAGCACGGGTGGAATTGGTGCTTAGAAGGTTTTCCTCTTGTTTAATGTGATAATTGATGCATTCGGTCTTTATCTGGTGGCATAAATTTTTGTATCGGCTTTTGAAATTGGCAACGTGACCAGATTTGTTTTTCCGCCAGAGTGATCTCTTTTTGGATTGAAGTTTCCTTATTGTTATGGGTAATCTGCTTTTTTGTTTTGTTTTGGGAGTTGTTGTTGGTACATATAGTTTGATGACTCTTTTGACTTCAAGTAAAAATATGTTGTAATGGTCTTCAACAGTATTGCATCCAGTGAATAGAGATTGCCAATCAAGGGATGAGAGATCGTTGTCTATAAGATCATAGTTGCCTTTTTTGAAGTTACAATTGGGGATTACATCATTGTGGTGATTTTTGTGTGGGCGTATGTTGAGACAAAAGTCAATCATATTGTGGTCACTGCTGGAAAAGGGTTCTTTAGTTTGTATTCCGTAAATTAAATTCCGTAAATTATCCGTAAATTATCCTCGTTAAATTTCCCTTTTGTGCATTTGTCATACTTTTTGTAAGTATTTTAGTTTTTTCTTTGTTAATTTTTAGCCCCACAACTTCTCCAAATTCCTCTAATTGCTCTAACAATTTTGGCCCAGAATATTGCAGATCTTCTAAAATAAAAACCAAATCATCAGCAAAGGCTTGTAATTTATATTCTTCTTTCTTTATTTTTAGCTCTTTTACTTCCGGTTCTTTCCTAATTATTCTTGTTACCTCTAATGTCAAAATAAATAATAATGGTGATAATGGACATCCCTGTCTCGTTCCTTTTTGTATCTCAAATTTATTTGTTGTGTGATCATTTATCAATATCCTAGCTTCTTGTTTGTGATATATTGCTAATACCACATTTAGGAAGTTTTGCTCAAAATCCAGACACTTAATTTGTTGCAGAACAAAACTCCATTTTACATTATCAAAGGTCTTTTTAGCGTCCAAGAATAATAGTGCTACCTGTTCTCCACTACGATCTTCATAATACTTTATGATGTCTAAAATTGTCCTGATATTATTCCTAAGATGCCTATGTGGAAGGAAGCCATTTTGATCTGTGTGTATAAATTTGTTTAATATTTTCTTGAATCTTTTGGCTATTATAGTTACGAAAATTTTATAGTCCACATTTAATAGAGATATTGGCCTGTAGTTTCCTATCTTTGTTTGGTCATTTTTTTCTTTTGGAATGATCTTGCCTTATCCATGACTTCATTAAACAATTTGAGTAATCTGTCGCCTAATATTTCTTGTTGGGAGGGAGGGACTGCATCTGGGCCAGCCGCCTTATTGTTTTTTTGTTATTTATTGCCCAAGTCATTTCTTCAGGATTTATTCTTCTATTCAATAAGCTTTTTTCTTCTTCTGATATTCTCAGAAGGTTCTCTTTCTTTAAACAGTTTATCACTTTTTCTTCTGTTACACATTCTTCTTCTTTATACAGATCCTCAAAAAATTTCTGAACTATATTCCTTTTCATTTCTTATTGATAATATATTTCTCCCTGTTCATTTTGTAGTTTAGTGATCCATCTTTTTTCCACTTGTTTCTTCAATTTTCAGGCTAGCCATCTTCCTGGTTTATTGGCGTTTTCAAATACATTTTGTTTTATTCTTTTCAGGTTTTGGGCTAGGTCTTCTTTTTCCAGCAAGTTTATTTCATATTTTATTAAATCCATTCACATTTTTATCTCTTTCTGTTTTGATTCTTCTTGCAGCTTCATCTCCAAGTTTCTATATTCCATTTCTAATGCTTTTTGTTGTAGCTTCTTATTCTTGTTTTTATTTGCCATATAATTTATCGCCACCCCTCTCATAAATGCTTTAGCCGTGTCCCAGGTGTTTTGTAAGGATGTGTCTTCTTCTTTGTTCTCCTTAAAGAAGAGTTTCATTTCCTTTTCCAGTTTAATTTTAAATTCCTCCTCTTTTAGGATCGCTCTTTGTAAATTCCATCTTGGTGTCTTGGATCACCCTTTCCAGCTAAACTTGATATAGCTATGATCTGCCCACAAGCTCAGTTCAATTTCTATTTCAGTTGTTTCTGAGATAAGCTTCTTCGGCATCCATACCATATCCAGTCTCAACCAAGACTGATGTCTGTTAGAATAAAATGTAAATTGTTTCTTACTTGGATGATGTTCTCTCCATGCATCATAAATCTTAGCCTCTTTTGCCAATCATTAAAATTTTTCGGTAATACCTTTTTCCTTATTATTTTCTTATTTTCAGTCCATTGTTTTATCTATAATTTCATTAAAATCACCTAAGATACAAATCTCTTCATAATGTACTTCCTTAATATTATTATATACTTTGTGAAAGAAGTGTTCTTGTGGACCATTTGGAGCATAAATTTCTATCAAAATAATCTTTTTATTCTCTAACTCTATCTTTACCATCAATATCCTACCATCTTTATCTTTGAAAATTTCTTTAGCCGAGATCCAATCTTTTATGTATAACACCACTCCTCTTTTCTTTTGTTTATCTAATGACATAAAAGTTCACATTGTTGATGTATGCTCTTGTTTGGATAAATGCATGTTGTAGGTGAAAGGCAATTTGGTTAAGGCATCAGCTAGAAATCAAGAAGCCTTGAGATTTAGTCCTGTGTTGGGCATAAAGCAAGTTGGGTAACCTTGGGATAGTTACCTTCTCTCAGCTCCAGGAAGGAGGCAATGACAAGCCACTTATGAAAAACCTAGCCAAGAAAATTGCAGGGATTAGTCCAGGCAGTCTCCAATAATTTGACACAACAGAACCAAAAAAAAAAATAATGTTATAGGTTATGCCTTAAGCCAGTGGTCCCCAATTTTTCAAGCTTAGCGGACTGGCAGGGACCAGGGTAGGAGATGGTTTTGTGTGAGTGACAAGCACATACATGAGTGTGTGCAACTCCATATGTGCAAGCAGCGGATGCCTGTGCCCGTCATTCACACAAATGGAGCTGCATGCATGAGCATGAGTACCTGCCACTTGTGCAAATGGAGATGTGCATGCATGCTCACCTGCCACTAGTGCAGCCTGGTTCCAAATGAGCAGCGGCCTGATTGTGGGCCATGACCTAGGGGTTGGGCCCCTGCTTTAAGCAAAAGACAGTTCTCAGCTGGAGCAGTTGAAGTTGTGGTTCTGTCATGTTAAAATTGTGAAACGTGGAGCCTAGATGTTTTCAGACAAAAGCTATGTAGAAACACCTACTGAGGTGCACAGAATAAAAATTATCTGATACCTAGATGGTCAAACCTGTCCAAAATGACTTACAATGCTTGCTGATAGGAGCACTGTCATCCTGCTCAATTCTCTAGGGATTATTTTGGTTGCCTTGCCCTAATTTTGTGAAGTGTCTTCTCCGGTAACATTGAACTGTAAACCAGGGCATACAAAACCTTTGCCAGACCAATTCTCGAATACACTCATCTGCCTGGAATCCACACTGTATAATGGACATTAATTGAACAAGTCCAGAGGTATTTCACGAGAAAAGTACTCCACTCTTCAGCTCACAATAGAATAACTTATGCCACCAGGTTTGATATTTTGGACCTAGACAACTTAGAACTATGCCGCCTACGGTCTGACCTAAGCTTAGTACACAAAATTGTCTGCTACAACGTCCTACCTGTCAATGACTACTTCAGCTTCAACCACAATAATACAAGGGCAAACAATAGATACAAACTCAAAGTAAACCGCTCCAAACTTGACTGCAGAAAATACGACTTCAGCAATAGAATGGTCAATGCCTGGAACTCACTACCTGACTGTTGTTACATCCTCAAACCCCCAAAACTTTAACCTTAAACTGTCTACTGTGGACCTCACTCCATTCCTAAGAGGTCTGTAAGGGGGTGTGCATAAGTGCACCAGCGTGCCTACCATCCCTGTCCTACTGTTTCCATTTATTCATACTCATTTATTATGTATACCAGTTTATACTTATATGTTTATATATTACATTCATACTTAGACTTGTTTGACAAACTAAAATAAATAAAATAAATAGGGCTCAGGAAACAGGTGCTTCATGTCCAAGTGAGTTGTCAACAAATTGCCCAATCTTTCCTTCCATGTAGGTTACTCTGTAGCTTTGGGGGAGTTTAATGAAGACTCAACATCACCAGGTAAAAGAAGTTTATTTTTCCTCTGGAATGGAGTAGGTTGGGATCAACAGAGTTAGGAAGAGAACTGCTTCCTGACTAGTTTGTCGTTTAGTGAAGTTTATGATCCTTTTGGCAGGAATTTAAAATGAATGTTTTAATGTTCACATCAGTTGCTTCAAAAACAGTCAAGAACATCTGGGGTTTCTGATTAAGATGTTTAAGCCTCTCTAATCTTAGTACTCCCTACCCAAAATTCAGGAATTTAGTAGGCACCAGGATTCAGCCTGAATATGAATATGAATGCCTAGCTCCTGGATGACTTAGCTCAGGGGTCCTCAACCACCGGGCCGCGGACCAATACCGGTCCGTGGAGCACTCTGTACCCGGCCGCAAATTAAAAAAAATAAAAAAAATGGCGGCTTTCTTCGCCTTCGGTGAATGCTGCTGGGATCGGGGATCAAGGACACAAATGAAAGAAGGGGAGGGAGGAAGCAACCGAAGCCTGTCCTGCTCTCTGGCTCAGCAGCTTCGGTTTCCTCCCGCCTCATTCCTCTCTCAGTCACTCTCTCGCTGCTCCACCAGCCCAGGAAGAAACTGCTTCAAAGAAGCCGGGGGGGG